TTTTTTTCAATGAATTGGTGCGGTGGGAATTCTTGTTTTGCGGGCGTGAGTAAAGATCCTTAATTTGGATTTTCAATTTTTTTTTTTAACTAATTTCTTCAAATTTTTTCAGAATCCATTTCGAATAAATTGAGTCGTTTCTGTTCAATATTAAGTGTGTGTGTGTGTGTGTTTTCTTTGGCGTACAAAAAAATTTGTATGCGAGCAAGGTCTATTGAGTGCAGATTTGATTTTAAATTTAAAAAAAAAAAAGAAAAGAAAATAGAAAATCAACTTATGGGTTATGGGATTTGGTCGAATTTTCTTTGGCTGTAGCTGTGGAGCTGCACAAGCGTTTTTATGGAGCTATAAATAATAAATGAATTGATTGGCGAATGTTTATTGATGATTGTCAGGGAAAGACATTCGGAGGGGCAGTGTGCAATGTATGGCATCTGTGGAAAGCGCAGTGACGGTAAAGTACTCAATTGCCCTCTTGCTAGGCCTGCTGTCAAGGTATAGTCTCATCTTCTCAGTATTGTCCTTTTCCTTGTACTTTCTGCATCAGAGGTCATTGATTATGATATATTAAAAGTAAAAACAAAAATGGAAGATGTAATCAGTTAATTTTGATGTAATTAGTTGTGTGTTGATTAATCACAACTGTCGCTTTGATGGATTTTTTATTTTTGTATTTGTTATTAATTATTGTTTTTATTTATTTATTTTCTTGCGGCAGCCGGATGAATTACTGTCCCAGAAGATTCAAAGTTTGTGCCCTACAATTACTGGAAATATATGTTGTACGGTGGAGCAGTTTGATGTTTTACGGACACAAGTCCAGCAAGTAAGAAAGTGAACTCTCACAATCTTGTAACAATATGCTTCTGCATACCTCCTAGTTTTTGTGGTCACAAAGAAAAGATGAATGTATATTGTAAGAAATGATCATTACTAGAATCCGGGACCTATGTTTGAATAGAAATAATAATGTGTGATCTCACTTGATCAATCGTTGTTCATGTTCATTGTGTTTCCTTTAAATTTCCATAACTTATATTTTCTTAGTTTATTTGTTGCAGGCCATTCCCTTTGTTGTAGGTTGTCCAGCTTGCTTGAGAAATTTCTTGAATCTGTTCTGTGAGCTCACATGTTCCCCGAATCAAGCTCAATTTATTAATGTGACCTCCATTTCCAGGGTGAGTTATTCAGTTTGTAAATGAGAGATTCTATTTAGTTGGTATATTCTGTTCAATCATAAGGTTATTGGTTTATTTTCTTTTGTGACTTGCTAAGGTCGGGAGAAACACAACTGTTAATGGAATTGATTATTACGTAACTGATGCTTTTGGCGAGGGAATGTTCGAATCCTGCAAAGATGTAAAATTCGGTTCCATGAATTCACGAGCAATAGAATTTATTGGTGCTAGTGCTAAAAATTTTAGTGGTAAGCTGATTTTACATTTTTTTTTTCTGCTGTGAATCCGAACTATCATTTTTATTATCCCTGGGGACTTTACTGATTAGTGACTGTATGACAGAGTGGTTTGCGTTTATCGGTAGACGGGCTGAGCTCGGTTTACCAGGCTCACCCTATGCTATAAATTTCTTGCCCGTGGCCCCAGAATCATCGGGAATGAGACCCATGAATGTGTCCACGTATTCATGTGGTGATACCTCATTAGGTTGTTCGTGTGGTGATTGTCCTTCTGCATCCGCTTGTTCGAGTTCGGAACCTGCTCAATCACCCAAGAAAGATTCATGTTCATTGAGGATAGGCTCTCTAAACGTGAGTTCTATTTAATTTAGATGCTCAGCTAATTGTATTTAGGAAATATGCGAAAGCTGCTGTTGTGAGGCACATACGAAAAGGCGCTGTTATATTTGGAAATTTTCATACCTTTTAGGGTATCATAAATACAACCTTGAGGTGTGCAGCTGTGTATTTAAGTTGCAAGTGCCCCCTCTTGCGTTGTAATTTGTAAAATTTGAAGAATTTAT